ATAAAAAATGAACGGTCCCTTAAGGTTATAGCTTAGGTTCTTTTCGTTAAGTTTATTTTTAGATGGTTCAACAAACGAGGGAATGGGGATGAAGTGCTCTTCTCGTCACACTTTTGCCCCCATAGGCTCGATTTTTGGAGCCCCAGTTCCCTCCAAATTCTACCCCTGGAAGTTAGTGGAGGCCCACTCTCACCAATCAGAGAGGGGACTCGACTCCTTCCTCTCTAGCCAGGAATGCTAACAGTGGCCCTGAGAGAAGGCCAACTTCCCCCTTTCCATCTATATTGAGCATCCCCCTGGGCTGCAGGTTTTGTTTGTTGACACTCAAGGGATTCACAGGGCTAAAATAATCAGCGAGCACTTTGTCATCCACTTCCCCATTGATCAGCCACACAAAGGTGTTGTTGTCCTTACTTTAAGTCAAACAAGGGGAAGTCGATTAATACATTACCAGCTTGATTGCGTCATTGCATCTCGGTTATCAGCTGTTATACCATCGTTTGCGAATTTGTGCGCATATCAATGCCAAAAACTAAAAAAAAAACAATTAAAATGCCACATTAAAGTAGGTAGAGTTTGATACAAAATAATTAATTGAAAGGCCTTTAAATTGACAGCAAAAGCTACTGAATAAAGACGAAAAGCACGTTGTTTGTTATTTATCATCTCGCATCCAATGAGGACTCATAGAACTAACATATCAATATTAAAAACTGTATCACTGAACAATGCAATTCAAGACTTTTCATTCCCTTAGCCACCATGGTATATATAAACAATAGCCTCCATTTGGCGCGAAAATATACTCGGATATTATCTCTTCCGAGAAGCAAACAGTTTTCCGAGAGCGAAGCTCGGGGAAAACTGCACGCTGCGAGGAACAGATAATGTCTGCGGACAAATATCTGAGCATATTTTCGCGCAAATAGAGGCTATCGTGTTTACTATTTTCCAAATATTTTTCGCCACACGCGCAGTTTTGAAAATTGGGTAATATCACTCGGATATTCCCCAGTTTTAGCTGGGGCATATTCAGTCACGTGACGCGTTTAGACCAATCTCACGCGAGCTAAAATATTTGATGGCTTTTAAGAGCAATCATACCATTTTCTACAAATATGGCAAGCGTACGCGTAATTTTGGAGGCGTTTCCATTTCTATTTTATTTTAGTTTTCTATATTTTGGGGGCCGTTTTAAATCAAACAATGATTCCACTCGCGCTTGTTGGATATGAGATGATTATAATCAACTCAGCACTTAGTTATTCGCCCACACATCCAGGTCCTCCCTTTTACTTTCTTACCACAGGGGTGGAGAGGGGAGTGCATGTCGTCCGCCTGCCAAAAAGCTATTGAAGCATGGAATCGAAATAATCGATCCAAGTTCGGAATGTGATTTTGTCTATGCAGTTCTTTCCTCAATGACCGACTGTTGTGTGTTTGCTCCATCGATCTTTTGAGAAAGAAAACAACAAACAAACAATACTGATCTCATATGATAACATTTGGCAGCGCACATCGTATATTAGTGCGTCTACAAGAATATAAATTTTAACCAGAAGATGAAGGGCCTGATGAGTCATCACTGCAATGTTACAGGGGGCGTCCAAATAACAGATCTTTCTTTTTATTACTTTCATTTGAGGGCGTTTCTCTGATTTGCAATAAGGATGGACATTTTCTCAGTGAAAAACAGACGGCTGCAAATCACGCCGCCAAAATGAAAGACGCAAACCAATTTAGACTTTCGTCTGTTCACTTGTTCCGCTTGAAAAACCACGAAGAAAGGTTTGAGGTGTGGCATTGTATATAAACCACTCACGTCTCAGTTAAAAGTATCAGATGCTCATGCGATCAATCACGCGATAGAAAAGGTCGCAAAATTTCATTTCTCTTTTCCGCAAGAGACACAAAACAAACACGTTTTAGCATTGCAAAGTTAGTTCAAACCGCTCTTTACTTGGGAGTTTTTGTCCCTTTGTTCAGCTATCGAAGACATCAAACAGGGTTCAGCCGCGTTAATGAAGTTGAATACGTGCCACTCGTAACCGAAAGGACACTAAGTAAACTGTTCCAGCAGATTCTTCACGCTTTATTAGCGGACTAAGCTCTGCCACGGCCGATGAATAGATTAGTTTGAGTCGGTTTGCTCCAGCATCGTAAACAAGGTGCACGTTTACCATGGTGAAAATTTAAGGGCTTGAGACCCTGTACCTGTGCCATTCAGCCACGAAGAATCAACATTCCGGATGTCATCAAAATGCGTCTGAAGGAGCAACATGTAATTAAGAACGTGCGCCTAAGTAAAACAGCGTCCATCTACTTAGGCCGCACAATCTTAACTTGTCAGTATGAAAGAAAGAATCATAATAGCCAAAAATCCGAGAAAGAAATCTGCAAACTCTTCAAAAAGAATTTCAAGATTGGACACACTGGCTTCAAAACCTTTGCTTGACTGCGAAAGATTGAAACAAGCAGAGACAGGCAAAAAGGAACAAAGAGGTGGTCATGATTGTGAAATCAACAGTGTTAAGATCCAAGAAAAAAAAAAACCTCGATAGGAATTCAAAATTGACTACAAAAGACAGACTACAAAGTGGTGGTCAAGATTGGGAATGCGGCTAACAAAGGATGACGGTCGATATGTCAGACTTTCACAAAGGTAGGGAAAACGATCCAGTCGTGGAAAAGGTTGATCATTCCAGCCAAGAGAGTTAATATTTAAAGGGAAAAATCAAGAAACCTGCGCTTTATCAAAAAGCAAACTGTTACTATTAAATAAATGAAAAGCGACGGGATAGATTGAAAATTTGATCTCGCAGTGAAATATTACAGTTCCGCACGACTGATTTGTTAGCAAGTGAGCAGGATGATCATTCATAAGAAATCCAAGAGTAAGGCTACTATTTTGCGACCAAGTGATCACTGCATTTGAAACAATTATTTACATTTTTGTTATCATAGGATCCCAACAAAAGAGGCACAACAGAAGCCTACAATACAATGAAGGTACGGAATGTATTTGCATCTTTGCCTCCTGAAGTCAATTATTTGGCCAGATGGGGTAGGGGTGGAAACGGGACAAAAATGATTTCTAATAATTTTACAACCCATAATTTTCCAATAAGATGCCACTCACAGATGACATTTTCCCCAGATGTTGTGTCGTGTTTTACCCAGAAGCCTCTACCTGCAATACTCGGGCGAAACCGAGAAAATTGTCAAACTTTTGTTTTGCTGAAAGAAAAAAGCCAAATAAGAGGAAATGCAAACCATTTTCGTGAGTAGATTAAACAAGCAACAAGTTACTTTTGATAAAATTATGATTCTGAATGCCTGTTGCTGGGAAAATAACTTACCAAGCACAATTATGATATGTACCTGTAACACATAGAAGCTACATTGCAACCCAAACAGCATCCATTTTAAATGTAGTAGTATTCGGTAAATATTTAACCTTGATATCAGCTGGACGTTTTCGCTTATAGGATTAATTTGCGTATTACAGGATAGTTCTGTGTACAAACGTTCTGCAACACTAGCAAGCATTCGTAATTACTTTCGCTTCGTTAACTAGATTAGATACACTATTGGTTCTTTTTCAGTATGAGAGCAGCCCCGAAGAGTACTCCCACTTGCTTCGTTCTCTGAGAAGACCCCTTCGTCTCATATGCAACCATATGTATCTTCGATGCCCAGAATGTGGAGAAAGATTCCGAAGATTACATGTGGTTCTGTATGTTCCAACTTATCATAGGTTAGGAAAATGTCCTGAACTGCCTTGTTTCATAAATGAAGAAATATATTCGTCTTCGAAATTTTCGACATTTAACTCCACGGATTCTGTCAGAGGTACAAGTTTCATATGTTGTGCCGTTACAGTTCTGAAGTCAAATGCCATCTTTGAGCACTAAACCACTCTGCCACTTAGCCATCGTATCTCCAAGATGTTTCATTATGCCATGCATTTTTGCATTGTTTTCTTCATTTGTTCGAGCACAAATTGATGAAAAGCAGTTTACGTGCACTACCACATGTGTGACCATGTGTGATAGCTATTTTAAGAAGGGCATTTACTATACATTTCATACAGAAAGTGCACGTCAACCTGAATGGCATTTATAAATTCCTTCCATCAACAAAATGCACCCACTCTAGAGGCACACTAAATTACATTAAGTTTGTTCAAACACGCGTCGTCATAACTTAATCGAAGATCAACTTCTTGGACTTAAAATGCTTTGGAATTTAAATGGCCCCATTATTAATCGCATCAGTTTGATTATGTTTTGTAAAACAGCTCGAGCTTACAAACAAATATATAAACAAATTTTCTCTCAATGTTTCGTCGAATTCTCTAAGTCGTGTAAAGAAATAACTGTTTTCATATGTTTGTCCTTCAACAGATACCATGATGTCAGAGGATGGCAAGGAAGAGACTTTGTAAGAAAATCTTTTTCATTTAAATATAACTTTTTTATGAGTGTTCTTTATAGTCAAAGCTGATCAAATAACATTCCTGTTTTAAACACATTGCTACGGTGGCTCATATATGCAATGCACATATATTTATTTCAGTGCACAAAAAATTATTCTCAGTGCACAAGTGTACATCTTTCTTTTAGTACACAAATACAACTGATCAGTGCGCAGTATTGTTTTCAGTACAAAAATAGAATTTGTTAGTGCAGAAAAGTTTTCCCAGTCCACAAAAATAAATAGCCAGTGCACAAGCAAAAATTTGCAGTGCACAAAAGTTGCCTCAGTAAACAAATATAATTTGTCAGTGTGCAAAAGTTGCCTCAGTGCACAAAAACAAATTGCCAGTGCACAAAAGTTGCCTCAGTGCACAAAAATAAATTGCCAGTGCACAAAAGCTGCCTCGGTGCACAAATACAATGTTTCAGTGTACAAAAGCTGCCTCAGTGCACAAAAATAAATTGCCAGTGCAAAAAGTTGCCTTAGTGCACAAAACTAAATTGCTAGTGCACAAAAGTTGCCTCAGTGCACAAATATAATTTCTCCGTGTACAAAAGCTACCTCAGTGCACAAATATAATTTGTCAGTGTACAAAAGCTACCTCAGTGCAAAACAAATTGTCAATGCACAAAAGCTACCTCAGTGCACAAAAATAAATTGCCAGTGCACAAAAACATTGTCAGGGCACAAAAATAACAAATATAATTTGTCAGTGCAGAAATATAATTTGTCCGTGCACAAAAGCTACCTCAGTGCACAAAAATAAATGGCCAGTGTACAAAAGTTGCCTCAGTGCACAAAAACATTGTCAGTGCACAAAAATAACAAATATAATTTGTCAGTGCAGAAATATAATTTGTCCGTGCACAAAAGCTACCTCAGTGCACAAAAATAAATTGCCAGTGCACAAAAGTTGCCTCAGTGCACAAAAACATTGTCAGTGCACAAAAATAACAAATACAATTTGTCAGTGCAGAAATATAATTTGTCCGTGCACAAAAGCTACCTCAGTGCACAAAAATAAATTGCCAGTGCACAAGTTGCCTCAGTGCACAAAAACATTGTCAGTGCACAAAAATAACAAATATAATTTGTCAGTGCAGAATATAATTTGTCCGTGCACAAAAGCTACCTCAGTGCACAAAAATAAATTGCCAGTGCACAAAAGTTGCCTCAGTGCACAAAAACATTGTCAGTGCACAAAAATAACAAATACAATTTGTCAGTGCAGAAATATAATTTGTCCGTGCACAAAAGCTACCTCAGTGCACAAAAATAAATTGCCAGTGCACAAGTTGCCTCAGTGCACAAAAACATTGTCAGTGCACAAAAATAACAAATATAATTTGTCAGTGCAGAATATAATTTGTCCGTGCACAAAAGCTACCTCAGTGCACAAAAATAAATTGCCAGTGCACAAAAGTTGCCTCAGTGCACAAAAACATTGTCAGTGCACAAAAATAACAAATACAATTTGTCAGTGCAGAAATATAATTTGTCCGTGCACAAAAGCTACCTCAGTGCACAAAAATAAATTGCCAGTGCACAAGTTGCCTCAGTGCACAAAAACATTGTCAGTGCACAAAAATAACAAATATAATTTGTCAGTGCAGAATATAATTTGTCCGTGCACAAAAGCTACCTCAGTGCACAAAAATAAATTGCCAGTGCACAAAAGTTGCCTCAGTGCACAAAAACATTGTCAGTGCACAAAAATAACAAATACAATTTGTCAGTGCAGAAATATAATTTGTCCGTGCACAAAAGCTACCTCAGTGCACAAAAATAAATTGCCAGTGCACAAGTTGCCTCAGTGCACAAAAACATTGTCAGTGCACAAAAATAACAAATATAATTTGTCAGTGCAGAATATAATTTGTCCGTGCACAAAAGCTACCTCAGTGCACAAAAATAAATTGCCAGTGCACAAAAGTTGCCTCAGTGCACAAAAACATTGTCAGTGCACAAAAATAACAAATACAATTTGTCAGTGCAGAAATATAATTTGTCCGTGCACAAAAGCTACCTCAGTGCACAAAAATAAATTGCCAGTGCACAAGTTGCCTCAGTGCACAAAAACATTGTCAGTGCACAAAAATAACAAATATAATTTGTCAGTGCAGAATATAATTTGTCCGTGCACAAAAGCTACCTCAGTGCACAAAAATAAATTGCCAGTGCACAAAAGTTGCCTCAGTGCACAAAAACATTGTCAGTGCACAAAAATAACAAATACAATTTGTCAGTGCAGAAATATAATTTGTCCGTGCACAAAAGCTACCTCAGTGCACAAAAATAAATTGCCAGTGCACAAGTTGCCTCAGTGCACAAAAACATTGTCAGTGCACAAAAATAACAAATATAATTTGTCAGTGCAGAATATAATTTGTCCGTGCACAAAAGCTACCTCAGTGCACAAAAATAAATTGCCAGTGCACAAAAGTTGCCTCAGTGCACAAAAACATTGTCAGTGCACAAAAATAACAAATACAATTTGTCAGTGCAGAAATATAATTTGTCCGTGCACAAAAGCTACCTCAGTGCACAAAAATAAATTGCCAGTGCACAAGTTGCCTCAGTGCACAAAAACATTGTCAGTGCACAAAAATAACAAATATAATTTGTCAGTGCAGAATATAATTTGTCCGTGCACAAAAGCTACCTCAGTGCACAAAAATAAATTGCCAGTGCACAAAAGTTGCCTCAGTGCACAAAAACATTGTCAGTGCACAAAAATAACAAATACAATTTGTCAGTGCAGAAATATAATTTGTCCGTGCACAAAAGCTACCTCAGTGCACAAAAATAAATTGCCAGTGCACAAGTTGCCTCAGTGCACAAAAACATTGTCAGTGCACAAAAATAACAAATATAATTTGTCAGTGCAGAATATAATTTGTCCGTGCACAAAAGCTACCTCAGTGCACAAAAATAAATTGCCAGTGCACAAAAGTTGCCTCAGTGCACAAAAACATTGTCAGTGCACAAAAATAACAAATACAATTTGTCAGTGCAGAAATATAATTTGTCCGTGCACAAAAGCTACCTCAGTGCACAAAAATAAATTGCCAGTGCACAAGTTGCCTCAGTGCACAAAAACATTGTCAGTGCACAAAAATAACAAATATAATTTGTCAGTGCAGAATATAATTTGTCCGTGCACAAAAGCTACCTCAGTGCACAAAAATAAATTGCCAGTGCACAAAAGTTGCCTCAGTGCACAAAAACATTGTCAGTGCACAAAAATAACAAATACAATTTGTCAGTGCAGAAATATAATTTGTCCGTGCACAAAAGCTACCTCAGTGCACAAAAATAAATTGCCAGTGCACAAGTTGCCTCAGTGCACAAAAACATTGTCAGTGCACAAAAATAACAAATATAATTTGTCAGTGCAGAATATAATTTGTCCGTGCACAAAAGCTACCTCAGTGCACAAAAATAAATTGCCAGTGCACAAAAGTTGCCTCAGTGCACAAAAACATTGTCAGTGCACAAAAATAACAAATACAATTTGTCAGTGCAGAAATATAATTTGTCCGTGCACAAAAGCTACCTCAGTGCACAAAAATAAATTGCCAGTGCACAAGTTGCCTCAGTGCACAAAAACATTGTCAGTGCACAAAAATAACAAATATAATTTGTCAGTGCAGAATATAATTTGTCCGTGCACAAAAGCTACCTCAGTGCACAAAAATAAATTGCCAGTGCACAAAAGTTGCCTCAGTGCACAAAAACATTGTCAGTGCACAAAAATAACAAATACAATTTGTCAGTGCAGAAATATAATTTGTCCGTGCACAAAAGCTACCTCAGTGCACAAAAATAAATTGCCAGTGCACAAGTTGCCTCAGTGCACAAAAACATTGTCAGTGCACAAAAATAACAAATATAATTTGTCAGTGCAGAATATAATTTGTCCGTGCACAAAAGCTACCTCAGTGCACAAAAATAAATTGCCAGTGCACAAAAGTTGCCTCAGTGCACAAAAACATTGTCAGTGCACAAAAATAACAAATACAATTTGTCAGTGCAGAAATATAATTTGTCCGTGCACAAAAGCTGCCTCAGTGCACAAAAGTTACCTCAGTGCACAAAAATAAATTGCCAGTGCACAAAAGTTGCCTCACTGCACAAAAAAATTGTCAGTGCACAAAAATAACAAATATAATTTGTCAGTGCAGAAATATAATTTGTCGATCCACAAAAGCTGCCTCAGTGCACAAAAATAAATTGTCAGTGTGTGGAAGAAGCCTGGTTACATGGTTTTCCCATTTCTGTTGCTTAATTTCATTGTCAGTTGGGACATTTTGCTGTTGTCATTTGCCTTGCAAATCGATCGGCCTTCAACGAGGATATTTCATTCCACACCGGAAAGCATGTTTTGTTCTTGCTGTGGCGTCCTTTACGGTCATCGCCGATGAACGCTTGGAGGCCTTTGGTTTATAATGCCCTCGTCTTTCATCGGATTTCTTGGAGGCAATTTGCTCGTATGTTGGCAACTTGGCCTTTAGTAAATCTGGCCTAGTTAATTGAGAACTGGAAGTACGTTTGCGGGAGATGCTCGAGTTGTTAGCAGCAGTCTCCCGGCCGACGTTCTCCTCACGTGAATTGCAATCTGGGTCATTATTACTTTTTAGGTTCCCGCCACAACTAGGGCAAAATGAAAAGGACATTTTCACTTAAGGCAACCATCAACATTGGTTTGATGGAATACGTCACCGAGGAGGAGGGAGACATTTTGAAGCCTCTTAGGGGCAGCGCGCTTCCTCTCAAAATGAAAACTGACGTCAGGTACGATGAGATTTTAGAAGCAGCGATCACAAGTTTTCACAGACTATGCAAAAAGGATATGTCCTTGCATATCTGGACTCACGACCAGCGAAGAAGATGCCGAGGACTTCGGACGAGTTCGTTCTTAGTGATTATAAAGATTGGCTGGGGAGACCGTACTCCAGGATTAC